GGTCGGCGTAGACCACGCTCTGGGCCATGCTTGCAGGCTCCCCAGGTGGCAGCAGAATGAGGACTCGGTCCTGCCTTGCTTGGACAGGCTGTGCCAGAACCATGTGGGGTGGAGACACTTCTTGATCAGAAAAGCAGAAGTACTTTTATTTGCAAATGCGGTTTTATTTCTGAGGCTGCTCTTGCTGCGCAGTGTGTGGGGGTGAACGATCTCCGCCCTGGGCAGCACACTCTGCCTCCATCTCCCCAGGCTGTGAGGAGCCACAGGAGCCCATGTGTGCTGGTCACCCCAGGGCCACGCTGCCCCATGCATCACCTTCCTTCTCCCGCTTGGGAGGCACTCTGCAGTGACTGTGGAGATCTGGCCTCAGCATTTCCCAGGCAGATCTCCAAGGGATTTCCATGACGGAGCTGCATGCTGCTGGCATGACACATGTGGTCCATATCAAAATCATAATAGCCCCCCAGGCCAAACCCTTCCAAGCCAAGCTCCTACAGGCCTTTTAGCCTCCCACCCACCACCCATCCTCAAGGCAAAATGAGGGCATTTCCTGTGACCTCCTCAGGCTGGACGGGAACCAGAAGACAAGCTGCTGCCCAGCCCTCCATGGGACAGAGGAGGCTTACCCAAACAGAATAAACCCTGGACAGCCACCACCACAACCAAAAGCCCACAGCTTTGTGGGAATCTGCTCCAGCCTGCGCAGGAGCTATTCCATGCTGCCTCCAGAACATGAGGGTGCTCATGTCGATGCCACTTCCTCCAGTGCTATTTCCCACCCACCAGCAACGTGACTGGATCAGGCAGCCAGATAAAGCACCTCCATCCCATCACCCTCATCCCCCAAAGCCAGCCGTAGTATTCAAGTGCCAGAGTTTATTGGCAAATTGTGGAGATCCAGCAGGGTAAAGGGGTCTGAGTAAGGAAGCAGCAGCACCCAGGGATGCCCATGTGCTGGGGTGGGACAGGCTGGAGGTCCCCATGGTCATCAGCGCCCCACGCAGGTGTAAGTGGTGTTTCCCCAGAGGAGAGCGGGTGGTGAGGACCGGAGCCACTGCAGGGTGGATGCACGCTGCTCACAGACCCAGCCGAGGGCTTCCCCGCACAGACCACCCGACAGCCCCAGCCCTGACACCCGGCCACAGGCCAGGAACGAGTTGGTGGAGCGAATGATTGGGAAGAGCCTGCAGGGAGAGAGAGGGCTGAGATAGGATGGGCAGGGAGGGCTCCCCCCCCCCCAGCCAGTGATCAGGGATGTTGTGGGGCAAAGCTCTCCCTCCCCAGGGAACACTGTGCCCTGACACCCTCCTCTTAATTAAGACACATGCTCTGATCCCCCCGACCCTACCCCTGCCTGACACCCCTATCATGCACACAGCACCCCCAGGTCTCTCCTGGCAGGGCTCAGCACCAGTTGCACTAAGCAAAGCCTGAGAACCTGCTCTTGGGGAGCCATACCAGCCCCTCACCCAGGTGGGATGTGGGCACCATGAAACCATCCCTTCCCAGTGCAGCTCTCGGAAGACAAGAGGTAGCCAAACGTGGAGCACATCCCTGCATGCCACTGGGCTGTCTGTCTCCCCATCACCTCCCCAAGCCCTGATCCTCGTCCCCAGCGAGGGACAAGCAGGCAGCCTCACCCCTTCAGTGCAGTGCCATCCAGCCACTTCCAGTCATATCTGGAGCCATCCCGCTTCAGCCCCACATGGAAGACCTCCGTGTTGGCTGTGCGTATCAGGAAAGCCTAACACAAGAGAGGACCTGCATGAGCTATCTAGGGGGGGAAACTCAGGCCCCTCCCAGTGATGGGGGCTGCTCAGTACAGACACAGCATCTCCAGCTCTCTGTCTGGAGGCTTGGCTAGGCTTTGGGCATGTGGGCCAGAGCCAGGGAGCTAGATGTTGCCAGAGATGATGCTGCTGAGGGACCTTGAGGTGGTCACAAAAGCACAGCCCAATTCCCATGGGGAGCTGGACCAGCCAGGCTGGGTGCACTCACCAGGGTGGTGTTGGCTCGGATGGTGACCAGCTGTGCCCCTCTGGAGCAGCAGTCCTCTCTGCTCTGCTCCCAGCTCTTCTTGGTGAAGGAGAAGTAGTAGCACTGCCCCGCATCCCAGAGCCAGCCGGCCGGGCAGAACTGGCACTGCCCTGCACACCAGAAACACAGCTTGCACCCAAGGGACAGGAGGGTGACAAGGGACAGCCAGGGTACCAACCAACCCAATGCACTCCCATGGATACCCCTTGGAGAGGACCCTCCACTTGCCCTTACTCTGGAGCCCAGATCCCAGATCCCAGTGCAATGGGCTGGTTACACGAAGGTGACAGCATCAGGCAGATGGGTTAGGGAAGAGAGCTCCAGATCTGGGGTTATGATACAGCATCATTTGCAAAGCACTGGGAATGCAGTCAAGATTTCAGCTTCACCAGAGACTGATTGAAAGGCAGCCCCCAGTGCCATCCAGCACATGGAAGACATGATCCTGGTGCTGGTGGTTGTGCCTGGGCAATGCTGAGCTGTGCTGGGGTCATCTCTTCCAAAGAGATCCCAGCAGCGCAGCCTGTTCAGCAGCACGAGGGCAGCACCATGCCATGAGCCAGGGGACAGGCAGCAAGGGTGAAGGAAGGCTGGGGGAAGGCATATTCTGGAGTAGGGCCTCTTGAAAGGAACCTCTTAAACACCCAAAACCTCTCCAAACTTCACCCAGGAGCTCACCAGGCTTTCCTACCTCCTTGTGTCTGTTGCCCATAGCTGGGGCTCTCCTCCATGCTCCACGCACCATGGGTGCAGCTCGCCTTTTGTCCTAAATCTACAGGAGAAGAGTACAAGAGTGTCACTGCAAACCCTGGGCTCCTGTTCCCAGCAGCATGTAGTGACCTCTCCCATGGGACAGCCTCACAGCTGAGGGCATCCCCTCCTTTAGGTGACCTGCCAGCCAAGCCTGTCAAGGTCCCCGTGGTTTTTGCTGTGCTTGGGAGCCCATCATAAAACAGGCTTTTGGGGAAAGTGCTTTTTTCAGTTTCAGTGTCACCACTCTCCTTCCTGTTTTCATTTCATTGCCATGTGATGGGCCAGGATGCCCTGACATAGTCCCCAAGCCCACACTGACCCACCAGCTTCCTCTCTCAGCCAGGCAGGCAAGGTCTTGCCTCACCAACTTTCCTGCTTGCCCAGAACCCGCAATGCCCTCAGTCCCAAGCTTTGTCTATTGGTACATGGGTACCATGGTTCCAACCCCAACCCCAACACCCTGACCAGAGAGGTCCAGACACAAGCAGATACTCACAGTGGAAGCTCAAGCTGATGAGGATGATTTGTACCAGCAGGAGCACCAGGGAGAGGACAGCCAGGCTGAGGGCAGCCCAGCACCAGGGCAGCCGCACCGTCTGCTGAGGAGCTAAAAAACAGAGTTAACATGGGCCCTGGGGGCTTGCTTGTAGCAGTGGGGACACCTCCAGCCAGGAAAGGTCTGTGAACCCTGGGCAGGGTCTCAGGAGGCAGTCAGGAAACCCAGGAAAACTGAGGGAGAGCCTGTTTGCAGCAACTTGATCCTCTCAGTGCCTCTCTGCAGACAGCGCTTGGCATGGGGCAGGGAGAGCAGACTGGGGTGCAGTAGACATCCCCTGCCTTTGAGCCCCTCCTGCCCCCTGCCCTAGGAGCAAGCAGTCTGCAACAGTGCTGGAGAGGAGTGTCTGGGAGAGGGTACCCAAAAGGGGGGGAGAGGGCAAGCAGGGCTTGGGGAATGGTCCTGCAGAGGGCAAGGGGCTGCAGGAGGGCAGAGGATCCTCCAGGAGAGCTGGGGTGTCAGGGGCTGGGAGCAGTGCACCGTTACCTGGGGTGGGGGGCAAGCGCAGGTCGGCGTATGTGACCCCCTCGTCCATCCCTCCCTCTGTCTCTCACTCTGCACCCCAGAGCAGAAGCAGTAACCCCTTCCCAACCTCATTTGGCAGCTGGCTGTGACGTGAAATGGAAAGTGTCACTTCCTGGTAGGGTCCCCAGGGGCACCACCTGGGACACAACCC